CTCGTTGCCTCGGTGTGGCGGGTCGGCGAGGACTGCTCTCCAGAAGCAGTCATTGCGGGCACTAGCGCTGGCATCCTTCTTTAGCGCGCAGTTCTGCCCGCTTCGATGATTTCTTCATCAAGCACGGGATTGATAACAAACCCGCGGGGGTCTTCGTCGATGACGGAGCCGCGAACTCGTTGATGGCCAGCATCAGCTGATTCGAGAGCACGCGCACAGCGTCCATTCCAGCACGACTGGGCGAGACGCATCGGGTGATCGCTTGAACCAACGCCTCTGCGCTGATATTGCTTGCGAGCAGACGCACGAGTTCCCGGTGGTCGCGGACCAGTGAGTACCAGCGAACAGCTTCGAAAAAGCTTTCCGTGAGGGCGATGTAACTGGCATACTCGCGCAGCGCTTCAACGACAGGAAGCTCTCCATCTCTGCTCGCCAGGACGATCGTGTCGTCGAAGAACTGCTCGAGCCGAGCAAGTACGTAAGAACCACGCGAGCGCATTTTGTCGTACACGGCAGTGACGCTCCGCAACTCCACGTGGCACAGCAGGATGTTCACGTGCCACAGGTCTTCATGACGCACAGCGCCTTACCTATTAACCTCGCACCTCTCGAGAATCAGCTCCGTCAGCAGCGGCGTATTGCTGCGCGTCGACCTCAGCAGCAGGTCAGAATAGTCCTCCACCAGCCTTAGGTCCGGCAGCAGCAGCTCCACGATCTCCGGGTGTCGGTTGACTGCGGCGGCGCGCGCAACGTAGAAGACGTGGCTCTCGCGGTTAGCCTCCGGCACCGGGAAGTTATAGCCATCTCGTGGGTTGCGTCCCCGTTCCGTGATTCGGTCCGACTTAGTTGAGAGGACTCCGTGGTCGCGCGCCCATTGCACCGCGTCGTAGCTGCCATTGGCGGCAGCATCGATGGCGTCGCACGAAGGAAATCGCAGATCCGTTTACCCAAGTGAGACACGAGGTGTTCGTTGAGCGTATCGGTCGCTTCCGGGTGGTCGGCGATGACGCGTACGTAGTACGTTTGACACTACTATCTACACGTTGTGTGCTAATTGGCGGGGGTTGTGCGTTAACTGTAGCGCTGCGGGGGCGAATTTCAACGAGGTGATTCATTGTGAAGTGACCGTGAGCGCGAGTACTCCAGTAGAGGTGCTGCTTCTGTCAAAGTACGACGTCTTCAATCGTCTGTCGCGATCGGCTCGAGACACCTTGCGCGCTGCAGCCCAGTCGCACGCGGAGAGCATCGTGTACATTGATCGATTCCACAAGACGCAAAAGTGGGAAGCGTACAAGCAGAAGGTGCTCCGAGAACATGTAAACCACGAACGCATTGAGAAGCTTTTGCCGTCTGCTGCGGCGGCAACGCGCCGCGGTGCAACTAAGAACCCTCTACCGGAACTACCGCAAAGATCTCGCAGACACAGCAAGCTGCAGCTGCCCAAACGACGGAGCCGAGGCGGACTTCAAAGACGACTGAGTCGGAGAAAGTATCTCAACCCTCAGGGGGGGCGACGCTCCCTCGAATTCCTCTTCCTCCTGTGAGCGAGGATAAATCTCCCGATACTTCTCGCAGTATGGCTTCGAGCAATAATACAGCGAGGCAAGCCCTGGTCCCAGCGAACGAGTTGCTGCTGCTGGCTCAAGAGACTAAGGCCATGAAGAAGTGTTTCAATCCAGACCAAACACTCGGCAACTACGTCACATCCTTCAACGTGGACACACCACCCAGTGCCGCTCGACAGCGACAGCTAGACGGTGTCTTGGCGGCCGAGGAGCGTCGACAAGCTGAAGTGCTGAAGGAGGGCAACTCGCTAGCATTTTTCGACATCAAAGTGGTCGAGAAGCAGATTGGTACGACGTGGAATCGCACGGCAAAGCACCTGGAGGAGGTTGAGCAGAGCATTGGCGACGAACAAGCACCGGAAACCTGTCGGTCCTCTCGATCTTCTCGGTATCACCGCTGCGCCAGCCGTCTCCGAGTGTACGAAACTCGAACCAAAGCTTGACCATTACGTCACAAGCCTTGAGTCAGCTTCTGCAAGAAAACTTCACCTTCTCTCGTCCTCCAGGAAGCAAACCACAAGCCCCCGATGTTCGAAACGGAAGAGTACAACAGCGCAAGGCCACCTCCACATCACCAACGCGAAACCCTCCGCCTCCCCATTGAAGGCGTATTCACCGTCCCGCTTCACTGCACAGACCGAAAGTACGAGTGAGACAGATTATGCGGTCTTTGTCATCCTAGACGAGAGTAGCGAGGAGCGATCAGAGGCGACGTTTGCGCCCAAGAAGTCTCCAGCTTTTCAGATTCTGCAGTCCGCTAGATCTCTCTTTGCGATTCGTGAAGCAGCCGAGAGGTTCCAGGAGAGCACGGGAGTGACCAACCTCAAGTACTTCGCTTTACCGCTCAAGACGTACGCGCTGATGCCGGGAGCCGATCGATCGAAAGTTGACGAGGAGCGACTCTAGCTACAGCAAGTGGCAGAAATGAGTGGCAGTAGTCCACGGATGAGATCGATGTCTACGTGCAGCCCGCTCGTGGAGGAGTCCACGATCTCTCTCCACTCAACTGCAGGAGACGGAAGTGTACACTTCGCCTCATTCCAAGAAGTGGCGATGTCTCCGGTTCCTAGCGCGTCGAACAATAATGAACCTCGACCATCTCTGCCTGGCCGATCAACCACGACCGCCCATGTCACCTCGAAGGAAAACTTTCAATTCAGGTACCAGCACTGCTCGATGCACCTTTGCGGTTGCGAGTGTGGTGCTGTCAAAGCTTGAGGCGGCCCATGCGCAGTACGAGGAGCCGTTTGTGGCCGTGCACGCACTCTTTTCCTCTGAAATGGAGGCGGTGACCTTCGCCATGAACATCAAGGCCTCTCAGCTAGTTAATAGCGCCATGTTGTGCATCTTTCCCGTGGGCAAGTGGATCTACCTCGAGCACGCGCACGACTGGTTCGTACAAGTGGAAGCCAACAAGCGCGAGAAGCGCGCTCCATCCTTGACTGGAGTATCGTCGACTACGTCGTCTCCGACGCACTCGAGGCGGTTGTCGCTCGTGGTGGAGCCCCCCAAGCCTATTTGGGAGCAAGAGCGTGACGACGCTCGTCGCCTTCACAACTTCATCTGCGCTCGCATGGGCGCCCCCATGCCCGACAATAAGAAGGACCGGACGGAGGAGAGCGGCGGCTTCACCCCGCAGCCACTCGTCTCACTATAGGACAAACTTGACACGCTTCACAGTTACCTGCAAGCGACCGCAGCATTCACGGCTCGAACGGGTTACGGGGGAGTGGCGATGCTCAAGTATCGGCAAGTCAAGCGCTTCGGGTCCGTTATGAGGTCCCGCATTTCGGGTACACAGCCCCACGGCAATGGCAACAGCAGCAGAAGTGGGAACTCGCCCCCGCCTCGAACCTCGTTCTCCCATGTTATTCCTGGTTAAAGGTTGGCTGGGAAGGCTTTTAAAACGTGTTGGTATTTCCTGTAGCCTAGTACTTCGTAGTAGATCGCACTCATGCGAAGTGCTGCACTATCAACTTGAACGATCAAGGAGACGTATCTGCATTACTATACAGTATGAAAATTTCACATTTAATGGAAATACGGATCTGCGTGCACAATATATTTGTGTATGGAAACCCAAGGGAACAGCGCTCTATACCTTAGCTTAACCGGAAAGCTTCAACTTCATATACACCTTGCAAATACTGCACAGATCCCTGTGCACATAAAAAGTAAACGGACTGCAGTGTAGTACAGTATCAAAAGGAACAGCACTCTAACTCTAAAGGGCCTTCATCATCATCAGGTGAAGTTGTAAAGTGCCGTCAACAAATTTACGCATGCAGTCGGTTGGGCAACATTCAGCAAATTGGTTCGTCCAGAGCCTTGTTGTCAATTTAGAAACAAGTGCCTAACTAGCACGACAATCCAATGCGTTTCCTGTGCTTCGCATTGCTTTGCGGCGTTTTTTTCCTCCTCACAAAGGTCGATGCTGCCTCGACGGTGACGGACTCGAAAGTTTCCACCACGGCTGTGGCTTATTCGACTTCTGTGGATACCGTCCCCACCAAAAGCCTCAGGGGCGATAAAAGTAATAACGACGAGAGCGAGGAGAGAGCGTTCGGCATCAACGCGATTCCTGGTCTCAAGAAGATCACAAACTTCGTCGACAAGCAGAAGACCGCGAGTTGGCTGAAGAAGGGAAAGGTCGCAGACGATATCTTTGCTAAGATGAAGCTGTGCCGGCCGAGAAGCTGTTCGAGAGCCCCAAGTTCCTCGCATGTGCCAAGTACGTGAGTCAGTACGACCTCAAGTACCCGGAGAAGGCGAAGACGGTGATCCCAACTTTGACCAAGACCTATGGCAACGACGTCGTAGCCAAGACGCTCGAAGCTGC